CGCGTTGGGGACTATCCCGTTTCCTATCCTCTTTTGTTTTGTGCCTGACCAGGATCCAAGACAAAGACAAAGACCAAAGGCGCCAGGATCCAAGACAAAGACCAAAGACAAAGGCGTCCAAGGAGACCAACGTCCTAAGGGACAAACCCACCTGTGCTTCCGACAATCAAGTCGACCTACGTTCATGAGGAACAAACCCATCTGTGCTTCCGACGATCGAGCTTTGGGCGCGATCCCCGAAACCAAAAGGGGGAATGTTGAGGGTCTGACCTCATGAGGAAATTACTATGCAGTGATTTTCTCCAAAATGACTGTGCTTAAATTGCTCTGAAAAGCAAATAATCACATCAGCGCCAAGAAACTTCATTTCCCATGATGCTTTGCACACGGAAGCATTGGGATGATGTCACCGCTTAATACCAGAAACACGTTCTGCGCATGTGCGGGAGGCGGGAGCTTGGACAGCTTTCCCGCGACTTCAAAGACTATAAATCATGAATGAGACAAAGAAACCTCGTTCTTTTGCCCAAGATACCTGGCGGTAAGGACACGCTTGTCGAACGCTCCGACAACTTGAGCACGCGGAAGCTCTAAGTGCCCAAGTTGAGCCACGAAACCGCTACAAAGCCACTCCAACTCCATCAGGACCTGACTGGGAACGAGCGGAGCTCCATCCAGCTCTCAGAGACGCTGTAAGTTGTCAAACTCAGCACAAAAGAAACTTAGTTCTCTTTGTGTCCAGCCCGTGGAGAAACACTCGTGGAGCCATCAACGGAGAAAGCATCAAACCGACGGATGACGCTGAAAACTGCGGAGAAAAACGGAGAACCGTCAAATCATAACAGCGGGGGACGCCTCGCTCTTCTGGTGATCAGAAAACTCATTTTTCTCTCTCCTTTTCTTCTCCCGTTTCCTCTATAGTCCAGAATAAGCAATAAAACCGCGCTATTGCTTAAAAAGTAGCTTCGTGTTTTTCTCTTTCGCTCCCAATTCGTCCTTTGGGTCATTTTGAATAAATAAACTGCTTATTAATCATTGTTTGGTATCTTTAAATGTTTTCTGCTTGGCCACGTGGTTAAACTAAAAGATATTATTCGTGATTAATCCTTTGTGTTTTTTCATGATCCTTTGAAATGTTTTGAGTGATTTAAGGTTAAGTTACTGATGATTCTAAGTGCCTTGGAAGTTAAAGTGCAAGTTGCCACTCACACTTTAGCCAGACAAAGGGGTCAGCCATCTTGCATACAGACTCCATTTTAGAAACACACACACACATACATACACACAAAACACCTTGAACATTATTTTGAATATACATCCTTTTATTATATCACATGGTTATTATTCATTTATGCCACTGTTTATTCATTTGACAAATTGTTAATTAAACGTTATAAAATTCAGATTTTCGTCTCCAGTAGCTTTGTTGTGTCGAAGAGAAGTCTCTGCTCCGAGGATTCTACGAACTTCAAGAAAGACTGATAAGAGTTTTGGATTCAATTTTTCCCCGGTTGAAGGGGAATGGTGCCCCGTATATCTAAGAATATCTTAATTAATTAATAAATCAGTAAATATTCTACATATTTACAGAATTTATTGAAGAATCCAAAAGTAAGTTGAAGCTTACTAATTGTTCGCTCCTAATAACCCCAACAGCGCGATGCATTTTACCCTTTCTTTGTGTTTAGCTCCCTTTGCGTGATTCTTCAGAACGGTGATTTCTGATACCATCTGGATGTTGCAGCAACAACAGAAGGCCTTGGTTTCGTTCCCCGTAACTGGTGCAAGCCATCCTTTAAAAATAGGGTCCAACTCCCACGCAGGACGATAAACTTGTGTCCGGTGTTGCTTTCCTTTCCCTTCATCCGTCCCTTCTCTGTTTTTCTTTTAAGAATAGATTTAGAAGCCATTGTCTCCTCGCTCGCTCTGTCCTCCTAGCTTAAACGTAACTCGGTCGACGGCACACGCGGGCAAACAGGAAAAACTGGCGGGGCCACTGCCACATTATATAACCTTACAGTTTCTCGCGAGAGTAGGCCCTATTGATGTGATTGGGCTACTTATTGTACAGATCCAGAGTCAGTTTTTGTAGTAGACACAATAGCATAAACCTGTAAGGACTGAGGTGAAATCTGACTTCAGAACAGTTTAAAATTATGTAATAGACATGGGAAAGTCACAGCAAAAGATAGTGTTACTAGATGCAATGTGAAATGATCGTACATTTGAGGATTTTTGAAACTATTGATCGTACATCGTACAGAGCCCAAAATTATGGTACAAATACAATAATTATCGTACATCTGACAACACTGGGAGGGAGAGAGGATGTAAACAGCGAGTTGATCGACTGAACTGATGTCTTTGAGCAAAATTGTACACCCCCCCCCCCCCCCCCCCCCCCCCGGTTTAGACGTGGCGCTCATGCAGGTGTCTCTTTCTGTTCCGACGCTGCTTCACGTAATATTTTCAATTTATTAAGCCTATAATTTATTTTTACTCAGTAACGGATATGATTTAAAATGTAGCGAATTACAATTCTTTTTTAAAAACTTACTCAAGTAAAAGTACAGATTTTAAAAACGACTGAAAAAGTATAAATTTACAAAAAAGCTACTCAATTACAGTAACGTGAGTAAATGTAATTCGTTACTTTCCACCTCTGACAATGACCCTACTTGTAGTACAGCAGTAGAGTTCATGTCTATTAACTTAGAACAGCACGTTTCAGGCACCACACACTAAATGGGCCACACTCTGGATCTTGTTTTTTCTTTGGGACTAAAAATCAATCATTTACATGTTGAAGAGGTTCATGTGAGTGACCACAGCTGCATTTTCTTTAACTCATTCACTGCCATTGACGAATAAAGTCGTCATTTTAAATCCAACCGCTCACTGTCAATGATGACTAAAGTCATGATTTGCAGTTTTTTTTTTACTGTGTGGGCATTGGAACGAGCCCCCGCGCTGAGAGAACAAACATCTCAGCTCTAAAGCCAATCTTCATCCTCATACGTCACACGTCACATGTTCAGGAAGCAGAAAATCCATGTGTTAGGAGATCGTTTTGGGCCGTTGCTGTAAAAAAAAAAGTGAGGCGCGAACCGGAAAAGCTTCTGCCGATCACAATTCAACAACGGATTATGAAAGAACGGATAAAGCTTGAAACACGTGGATTCTTCCTGATGTAAGAGGTGAGTCTCCGTTTTGTTTTGGTTGTTTTGGCGTCGACATCATCCTAGCACGCAACGTTCTGTGACTCTTTAAAAAACTGTAAAAACAGTAAGAAACGTGAGAAACGCCAGCAGCTAAGGGCTTTACCGATCAGGAAACGGCTAGTAGCGAATTAGTTAAAGTCCAATCAAATGTTGAATCTGTCTCTCACAACCTAAAATCAAAGAGACATATCATTAATCAGTCAGCAGTGGATGCACTTAATGCACTGTGATTTATTATCGTGTGATTGTTCGGTGTTGATTTTATATTTCCTCATCAGGTTGACGCAGTTACAGCTTGCTCCTGTTGTATTGTTGTGCCCCTTTTGTTTGTTTGTTTTTCTCTTTCTGCAGGTGTAGAAGCAGATTCTTGTTCATCATTGATTGTTTTTTTTGGGGGGGGAACACCCCCACCTCTTCCTTATTGTCTCTTCCTTTCTCTTTCACCTCTGTCTCCGTGTCCGGTCGGAATTATAAAGCATTCAAAAAACAATAACAATAAAGTTTTAAGTATCAGGTGTGACATTAAAGGTGAAGCTTTGATGCTCCACCTGAGAGTAAATCTGTAAGGCTTGTCATCAGCATTCAGACATTAACTCTGTTTGCTTCACAGCCAGACAGCATATGGTGGAAGAAAAATAAATAAATAAACAAACAAATAAATAAAAAGAGCATTTTAAAGCAAATAGCAAAATGTAAAAACCACAGGATATTTTCTTCGCCAAAAGAACTGTTTTTGTTTCATCAGACAGCAGCACCTTATTCCAGAATGAAGCTGCTTGTCCAGATGTGCTTCAGCAGAACTCAAGCAGCTCTTTTTGAGCTGTGGGTGGAGAAAAGGCTTCCTCTGCATCACTCACACACACAACACCTCCTTGTGTAATGTGCACCCAGTAGTTAAACGATGCACAGTGACTCCATCTGCAGCAAGAAGCTGTCGTAGGTCTCTGGTGCTGGTCTGTGGGATGACTCTGCCTGTTCTCACCATTCTTCACTTTTGTTTGTCCCAGATTTATCTCTGTCTGCCACGTGGAGCCTTAACATGAACTTAACTTCCATTTCCTCTATATGTTCCTAACTGTGGAGCCAGACAGCTGAAATCTCTGAGACAGCTTTCTGTGTCCTTCCCCTCAACCACGATGGTGAACAATCTTTGTTTTCAGCTCATGTGAGAGTTGTTATAAGACTCCCATGGTGCTGTTCTTCAGAGAATATTCACAGAGGAGGGAAACTTACAATTGGACCCTTTCTCATACCTTGACTCACCTGTGTATGGAGGTAAAAGGTCACTGATACCAAACCAATTCTGAGTTCCAATATTTAGTTCTAAAGTTTTTGGAGTCAATAAAATAACAACAGTGTCCAAATTTCTGCATCTGCATCATTTAATTTAAACAATTATTGCACACTTCCTGTAAATCCTACATACTTAGTTTCACTTCTCAAACATCACTGTGTGCGTGTCTCCTTGATGATATATTTAACTAAAACATTTTACCGTAACCAACCATTAATACAGGAAAATGAAGAAGACTAACAAGGCTGCCCAAACTTTCACATCCCACTGTATGTTGCAATTTAGTAGTGTCTGTTGATAATTTTGCATAATTTTTTGTGATTATTTCCTTTACAATTATATGTGTATTTTGATTTGCTGTCTTTTGTCACCGTTTTATGAGTTGTACTGCAACGTTTAAAGTTGCATTGGGTTAATTATTTGATTTCTTATTCTAAGCGGTGTGTATTTATTTGTGACACTTGTCTGTGTGCTGCTTTTCCTAGGTTACCACGATGGCCACATAGTGATGCGCTGGTTTTGGGCAGCTGTGGAGAGGTTCACCAACGAGCAGCGTCTTCGTCTGCTACAGTTTGTCACTGGGACATCCAGCGTTCCTTATGAAGGTTTCGCAGCCCTGCGGGGGTCTAATGGCCTTAGACGCTTCTGCATTGAGAAATGGGGCAAAGTCACATCACTACCCAGGTACCTAATCCTGTCCTTTGAACTGGCAAAAGAAAACCTGAGTTTACATTAAGGAACAGGTTATAAATAAACGGAGTAGTTAGCAGGGTTCTAGAGAACCAACAAGTTCCCTTACCAAGGCCTGGATGTAATCTGGCCCTTGGTTCTTATCACTGAAAACATTTTCTCTGACCGACTTTATTTCTGCTGTACAGTGGGTACAAAACATACTCAGACCCTGTCAATTTTTCACTCTTTGTTATATTGCAGCCATTTGCTAAAATCAATTCAAATCATTAATGTACACACAGCACCCCATATTGACAGAAAAACGCAAATCATCATACATTTATGCAGATGTATTAAAAAGATAAACAGAAATATCACATGGTCCCAAGTATTCAGACCCTTTGCTCAGTATTTAGTAGAAGCACCCTTTTGAGCTAATACAGCCATGATGCTTCTTGGTTATGATGCAACAAGTTTCTTACACCCAGAGTTGGGATCCTCTGCCATTCCTCCTTGTAGATACTCTCCAGTTCTGTCAGGTTGCATGGTGAACGTTGGTGGAGCCATTTTTAGGTCTGTCCAAAGACACTCAGTTGGTTTAAGTCAGGGCTCTGGCTGAGCCATTTAGGAACAATCACATTGTTGCTGTGAAGCCACTTCGTTATTTTAGCTGTGTGCTTAGGGTCGTTGTCATGTTGGAAGGTAAACCTTTGGCCCAGTCTTGAGGTCCTGAGCACTCTGGAGAAAGTTCTGGTCCAGGATAGCCCTGTATTTGGCCACATTCATCGTTCCCTTGATTGCAATCTGTCGTCCTGTCGCTGCGGCTGAAAAACACCCCCACAGCATGATGCTGCCACCGCCATGCTTCACTGTGGGGACTGTATTGGACAAGTGATGAGCAGTGCCTAGTTTTCTCCACACATACTTCTTAGAATGAAGGCCAAAAAGTTCTATCTTGGTCTCGTCAGACCAGAGAATCTTATTTCTCACCATCTCAGGTCCTTCAGGTGTCTTTTAGCAAACTCCGTATGGGTTTTCAAGCGTCTTTCATTGAGGAGAGGCTTCCGACGGGACATTCTGCCATAAATCCCTGACTGGTGGAGGGCTGCAGTGATGGTTGACTTTCTACAACTTTTTCCCATCTCCTGACTGCATCACTGGAGCTCAGCGATAGTAATCTTTGGGTTCTTCTTCACCTCTCTTACCAAGGCTCTCCCCCAGTAGCTCGGTTTGGGAAGGGTTCTGGTCGTCCCAAACATTTTCTATTTAAAGATTATGGAGGCCACTGTGGTCTTTGGAACCTGAAGTGCAGCAGAGATTTGTTGTAACCATGACCAGATCTGTGCCTTTCCACAATTCTGTCTCTGAGATCTTCAGCCAGTTCCTTTGACTTCATGATTCTCATTTGCTTCGACATGCATTGTGAGCTGTAAGGTCTTATATAGACAGGTGTGTGTCTTTCCTAATCAAGTCCAGTCCGCATAATCACACACAGCTGGACTCCAAAGAAGGTGAAGGACCATCTCAAGGATGGTCAGAAGAAATGGAAAGTACCTGAGTTAAATATATGAGTGTCACAGCAAAGGGTCTGAATACTTAGGACCGTGTGTAAGCAGTAGCTCAGGAGGTAGAGCGGGTTGCCTCATGATCAGAGGGTCATGGGTGGGAATCTCCGTCTGGTTCCAACCTGCTGCATAAATGAAGCTGTTTGTTTTAAGAAGTAATTCACCATTTAACACAGCTGTTCATTACTGTTTCCGTCAGGGCTCACACCTGTTTTAACCGCCTTGACCTGCCTCCATACCCGTCATACACCATGTTGTATGACAAGTTGCTGATCGCTGTGGAGGAAACCAGTACCTTCGGCCTGGAGTGAGAGACAAACCAAACCCCTCTCTGCAGCCCGCTGACTGGGCCTGAAGGTGGAAGGAAAGTAGCCTCGGTTGGCTCGGTAGTTCATCAAGATGTGTGAAGACTACTGGTCCCATTCTGGCAATCCAGTCAGTTACTGTTCAGGTTTCAGTGCCAGTCCCTCACTTAGCTATAAGTCCCTAATAAAGCACCCAGATGGTACAGCATCAGGAAAACAGATGTTTGACATTCCTGATAGAATGTGTGAAGCACTCTGTTGGCTGTTTGTAACAGATCCAGGATTAAAATGAAAGTTTAGTGAATTGACCTCCTATTTCCATACTCAAAGCTCTAAGAGATGAGGTTAGATCATCTCACTGATAGTTTTAACTGTCAACAAACACAGTATATGTCCAGAAATTAAATAAGAGATTAAAAAGATTATTTCTACTGAAAACCTGCACACAATTTTATTTATTGAAGAGGAGAAATAGGAAAATATCCCAGATTAGGGATTTTCACAAGCTAATATTTTATATGAAATCCAATTTAAATGCTTGAATAGACAAAATTCTCAGGTGGACTGAAGTCCATTATTTCAATTGCCACATGCGGTGGAATAGTGAGATGTATTTAATCATTTAACCCAGAAAGACTCACGTGTGTTTGGGTGATTGATTCAATCAAATTAGAGGCAACAGTTCATCACCATAAACACAAGTAGAGTAGAGACCAGACTTATGAGCCCAGAAAACAAAGAACTTACCATTCCGCATAGAACAGATCTCCAGGATCAGGCCAGGACACAACCTAATCCAAGTCCTGAAGAGTCTCTGGTTCTGCTTTCCGTATTTAAACGATAAATAATAAATTACCAGGGGCCTCCTTTATAAAGCTTGCTCATGCACAAAGGTCTGAAAACTGCACAGGTGACTTTCAATCAATCAAAGCTTTATTTATAAGGCGCCTTCCGCAACCCTATCGGGAAGCCCAAGGCGCTGAACATGGTACAAGAGAAAGTTAAATATGGTGAATAAATCGAAAATAAAAGCAATTCAAATTACAAATTACAAAAAAAGGTAAAACATTCTAGTAGAAGACAAATGGGTAAAACAAGGGATAGAGTGAACCAATGAAAACAGGGAAATAAAATCAACATACAAGAGGGCCAAATTCAAACACATTCAGGAAACGCCAAGCGGAGGAGTTGGGTTTTTAGGTGACTCTTTCAACGCAAATCTTTAAAAAAAAAACGTAATGGGAAAATGTGGCAACTTTAAACAAACTTTGGACCTTGTGTAAGAACATTTAAGAGATTTATAGACCCTCACACACACACGCACACACACACACACACGCACAAAATCAACAAGCCCCCTAATAAAATGATATCTGTAATTAAAATATATTGTTCTTACAATATCTTGTTATTTATATTACATTTATGTGTCTTCAAGTTACTTGGTGCATTAGTTGTGTGGCGTGCGACAGCATGCCTAGTGTGAGTCAAGCTATAATTTAAAACTGTGCACCGAAGCAAACCGGGGCGCAGGTGAACCCGCACCTGGTGTGTTCCAGGCATTAGGCTCCGTCGGACCACTTCCTCTTTACGTCGGCTGTGATTGCGCCGCTGCAACAGGACAGCAATAAAACATTTCCGTGCCCAAGTCACGCCACAGAGCCTCAATTTTCATCATGGTCGACATGGTAACCTGAAACCTCCAATAAGCAGGTTCAGAATCTTCATAATGCAGTTTGCATGTAGTGGCTGTGCAGGATGCGGAGACACCTGAGCACATTTCTAGGACAGGTGAGGCTTCTAAAGCAGGAACTGCTGCAGCCGAGCGTGAGCTGTGTTTTATAGGCTGGGAGGGTAGTTTGCTTTTTCTGAGCTTACGTTGTTAGGTATTTTCATTTTCCCATCCAGGGTTACCTGAGGGAAAGTTCAACACGCAGGCGTGATATTACTAAGCCGATCGATTAACCCACACCAATCTTTACCAATAAACTATTTAGACCAGGGGTGTCAAAATCATTTTAGCTCAGGGGCCACATTGAGGGAAATCTAGTCCCAAGTGGGCCGGACCGGTAAATAAAATAAAAAAAACTTCTGATTGTTTTCTTTGTTTTAATACAATCAATATAAAACAAGGCTGGAGCCTGAGGACAGTGTAGTACAAGTACAACACCTGAAGTGTACTTGAAAATTTGAAAAAAAAAAAAAAAATCAATCAATAAAAAAAACATTCCTTAGTAATTCAAAGAGCTTACAGATCACATGGCAAGATCAGTTTCATGCAGCACTTAAATTAAATTTGACTCATTTTACTTTACATCTTTTAGCTTTCACCAGCACATCAATATCAGAAGTCACATCCTGAGTGGCGGCCAACTTCAGGATGTGACTCAAGTTCTTGTGTGAGTCTTGAGCGCAGCTTGGTTTTATTTATACTCATTACAGAGAAAACTTGCTCACAAAGATAAGTTTATTTTCACTCTACATTGTAAAGTATGAAAATAAAGTTTACACAACCATCTCACGGGCCGGATTTAACCCGCTTGTGGGCCGGATCCGGCCCGCGGGCTGCATATTTGACACCCCTGATTCAGACTTTGCAAAGTGGAGAGAGATGAAATGATTCACACGAGTCGGTAGGCAATTCGCTAAAATTACCCAACATACGTAGTTTTATAAATGAGGCCTCCAAAGTGCTTTACACTACAGTCAGTCATTCACCCATTCTCACTGACACTATTGCCACAGCTGCCCTGGGACACACTGACAAGGCCAGGCAAACAGCCACAAACACTGAAGACACAAAAACAAAGGCTCCTGCAGGTTAAAGGCTCATGCATTCTAGAAGACAGACAGGAAGTCCACCATCAGGACCCTCACATTCACTTTCTTCCTTCCGTGTCCCTTTAGTCCAAATAGGGAGGCAGCACAAGCTCCTCTTCAAAGCACTAAGACAACGATGTCATATCTCCTACTAACTGAAGTAGCCGTCGGTTCCAACATAAGGGCTTCTGGGATTCCCTCCCTGGAGACTGACGGTGATCTCACAGAACAACAAAGCCGGAACATCGTGATTTCCTGATGACTATGAATGCATCTGAAGGAGGCTGAAAGATGGTTTAGGCTCCTGCTGAGCAGAGTGATGCCTCTAGCTGATGCTTCTCTGGTCTTCCTGTTTGAAAAGGAACTGCTCAGAATCATATTGAAGTCTTCCTTGACTGCACGATCTCTGGTGTTAGAAGTGGAGCAGACGCTTCAGCATCGTAACTGTTTGAAACATCACGTCTGAATAAAAAACAACTTCTGAAAAAGAATTAAAGTGAGTTATTTTGGACTTCCTTCCTGGAGCAGACTTCTCCTCGTGGACAAACTAATGACATGTATGCAATAGTAATATGTCTGTCATGTTGTTTTGGACAGAGGCTAACTGTAGTGTGTCTCCAGCTCCAGTTATCGAACTGTGCCTCATTTACTTTCTGCCTCAAATGTTGTCTGTGGTGTTGAAACCTGACACAAGAAAAGTCTCGAGTTCTTTTCATTCTTTTGTCTCGGTTAGTGTTGATGTAACTTTCCTTCATCTCTAAGGCAACCTGGTATGTTTAAAGGTGTGGCTGACTGAAAACCCATTTTTACAATGCTGTTTCTGAGTTGCACATGAAAATAGTCACCTACACCTATCTCCTGCATTAGCTTCTTTTAGAAAATGGTGAAAATCTAGGAAAATCCTCACAGATCCACTTCACACTGTGAAATAAAACTCATGGACTCACCCATCTAGACTCACGACTGGGAAGACTGTTGCTGGTTTAAAGTCCGGGAATCAGCAGTGGACGTCTCGGCTAGTTTAAGCTAACCATTAGCATTAGCAACTTCACCACGCAGCAGAACTCCTCCAGGCTTGTGTTATTTGTGGAGATAAAACATCAGCGTTGCAAGTCTGTGGCAGAGCTGCGTTGCTCTTATTCAATCCAAGGTGAGATGTTCAGATATCAGGAAATAAGACTCTAAAACCTGCCATCTGAAACTCAACCATGTTGTGGGTCAATTTTAGGTCCAAGAAATGATGCACTGGTATATTTTCCCCGGAGGACGACTCACAAGGAATTAACTCCTACAGGAGACCCCTGCATTTGTGTTGAGTAAACCAGTCAACCACTCCTTTAAGTTTTATTTAGTTTTAAACTTTATCAGAGGGTTTTCTAATAACTACACCTCATGCTATGGAATAAGTGTGGGAATGAATCCAAGAACATGTCATTCATGTTAAAACACAAAACAATGGAACCGTAATGCTCATAATAAACACATAACTGATCCAGTTTAGCCCAGGGTCGTATTTGCTACGTGTTCTCCATATGTTAGCATAGAAGGTGGTCTGAAATGAAGACGGCCTCCCTGGTCTCACCTGCTGGTGCCGGCTGTGTGTGGTAACTGCTGAGGGCTTTACCTGTAGCTTTATCTGTAAAATCCTAATATTTTCAGCCATGAGCTGCTTTAGAATGTAAGCTGAAGCTAACTGCTGGTGTCCACTCCCCTTTTAGACTAACAGCTCATTTATTTGTATATCTAAACCAAGACCCAATACTGCTTAATATACTGTAAAGTTGTATCGATGTGGCAGAGCAAACTCAGAATATTCCTACTGATATTCATTTATACTAAGATTAGATAAGAGCCAGACTGGGCTAGCACCTTAGCTGCCGTTAGCCACTTCTCTGTGGACCCACAACGGACCACCTGATTGTGTCCAATACAGTTGTACACATTCTGTCCTTCAGGTGTGAAAAGCAGAGAAACCTCCAAGTTTCTAACTAAATACATTTATGATAAAGCAACAAAAGTGATGTTACCAGTAGCAAACTGGATTTGCATGTGACAGCTTTGATTGTGAGCAATGCAAGAATTAGATCACCAGTCAGTGATCGAATTAGCTGGATTATGTTTCCGCTCTCCGTTACTATCTGTGCTGGATCAAGGCATCGGGCCAAGAAAACAACATGACAACACAGTAGTGACCTTTGTTGCAACGTGTGTGTGTGTGTGTGTGTGTGTGTGTGTGTGTGTGTGTGTGTGTGTGTGTGTAGGGGGGGGGGGGGGGGGGGGTCCACTGCTGAAGAGCTTTCATTCTTTAGATTTAACCATCAGTGTGTTGGACGTCCAACACTAAACTCAACTACATTCCATCATTTTTATCATGATGACAATCTTTTCAGTGACCAGAACCATGCTGTTATTGCAATGTACAGATGTAGAAGATCAAAGAAAAATTGGTTACAGCTTTTGATAGTTTTACAAAAAAAATGTGGTTATGAGTTATTGGGGCTTTGCAGAATGGTCTAAAGGTGGCAGTTGTGCTGGTGGTGGGGGTCATTTGGCTCACTAGCTGCTTACAGTGTAATGATTGTTTAAAATGTGTATGGAGACATTAGATTAAGTCAGAAATATATTTGTTGAATTAAATTTGAATTTTATACCAAAGTATATCTAACCACTAGTAAAACAAATGAGCAGTCATGCTTTGGTGGTGAGGCCTTATCCACCCATCCCCAACCATACTACCACACTGATAAAGCTGTGATTCTCTTTATTTTATCAAGTTTTATTTTCAATAGTCTTTTTATTGAGTAATATTTATAACTAAATGGAGTTCAACGAATGCTCTTGGAATGTTTTCTTTGCTAATATTTGATTATTTCATTAAGAGCATCAACTATGGTTTACCTTCACTTCACGTGAAGTCTTTGCGCCATGTTCAGCGCCTTGGGCTTCCCGACAGGGTCGCGGAAGGCGCTTTATAAATAAAGCTTTGATTGATTGATTGGTTGACTTCTGAAGCCTGTGTGTTTTAATATGTATGTCTTTTCTACTTTCTAACAAACAGTCTGCCTATACAACAATTATGTATGCACATATAAACACGTGTGTGTGTGTGTGTGTGTGTGTGTGTGTGTGTGTGTGTGTGTGTGTGTGTGTGTGTGTGTGTGTGTGTGTGTAAGCTACTTGATTTTAGTTAAGGCAGCTACACATGGCCCATTTATTTTGATTATTTATTGTGTCACATATGTTTAACTGTTTTTGGGTGAGGGAAACTGTGTTTAGTGAAGAGGATGAGTACATGCGTTGTAGATCGTGAAAGCCTATTCATTAGTGAGTGATTGGCACTTACACAGAACACTAATCTACTGAATCTATAAGTCTGAGATTCCTACAGAAAATCACATTGGTGACACATTTTTACATTTATTTATTTTAAGTTGGTTTTAACTGAAGTGAGATGACCCGGTAGCATGCTCCGATCTTTTTCCGTCTTACTTTGTGTTCGGTTGTTGTTTTTTTGTTGTTGTTTGGCTTTTAATTGTGTGTGTGTGTGTGTGTGTGTGGGGGGGGGGGGGGGGGGGGGGTTACGTTATACATCCCTGTACAGAATTTTACTATTCTGAATTGACTGAAAGTTGGTTGGTAAATACTCAGGCTGTGCTAGTGCTTGCCATACCATCCAACTGTTTGAGTCTGAATAAAAGTCCTTTTGTTACTGTGCAAGTGTTGTGTGTTTGTTGTGCCAAGGGAAAATTATAAAAGGACCCAGAAATACTGTACCTACCTACACTGCCCAAGAGCAGCATCGGAGGACCGGGAGGGGGAATGCGAGACAAGTCAGATAACTCTCCTGTCTCCAGGTGACTTTTAAGCACTCCCACCGCTCAATAATTGTGTAACATATCAAAGGTCAAATTTTCACCGACAAATTGACCAGAAAGTAACCTTTCACTTGCAGACAGAAAAACACCATCTGTCTGGCCTCTAAATCCAAAACAAAGCTCTACTGCGAAGAAGCGAAGATATCTTTGCTCAAGGCCTCATGCGAGACTGCTGCATTCCTTACAAGGCATAAATGTCAACCTACCCAAAGTTCCTATGTGACTTTACAGCTTATAAATTGAAATATTCATCTGTTGAATAAAAATTATGTTTAAATCACGTGTTTGTATAATCTGTGCTTTAATCTGTGATGGCTTTAAAATGAATATTGTTCCTGCAATGATCCATTTCAGATCTTATTTACACCAGATCAGTATGCGTTTGATTTAATTAAATTAAGCAATATCTACAACAGTACTGATCACAAGACATAAATACCGTAATTTCCAGACTATAGAGCGCACCTCAATATAAGCCGCACCGGGCTAAACGCCGCAGATATCTACTGAACTGAAAACATAGTTTAACTGAACTGATCAGTATCAAACAAAACAGAAAAGTT